AAAAAAAAAAAAAACACATCATCAGAAACCAAAATATATTCAATCTTCATATGATTGAACATGCACTGACCAATTTCTACACCCAAAAAAGACCGGTACACATATTTAAAGCCCCTGAAGTCTTACAATGACAGTGTCTAGAAACGTACAAGGCCCCCAAGTGTGATTATAACAACATTCTGGACAAGAAGTTCAGGTTTATCCATATGTTGCAGCTGTTTAAGCAAAAATAATTAAGGTTGGACAACTAGATTACAACATCTACATTTCTCCCATAAACAAATAATAGATTCTGAAAGAGTGAAGGTTTTGGTCAATCAATCAAGACCGACTGCTACTGCTGGACAAGATCAAAATGCACTGTCCTCTAAAATTCACATTTAGCATCTCCTAAAGCACTGGATACAACTATGAACTCAGTAGTTAAACATGCAATGACTAATAATAAGAAAACGAGCATGGAGATAAAGAACCGAATGAATAAAACATACCCAAAAACTGCACCACTATTAGATTTCAAATCCATATAAACATGAACATATATGCACTATTAGCCAAACACAAAATCACAATACCCAAACTGAATATCAATTGAATCCAAATATCCGGTAAGACATCTAACGAGATAAATTAAGAGATAAATCAGCAAAATAAATGTTGGGATGTCAGAGATGGGATACAAAACCTCCAAGCATTCTAAGCCACAAGCCATCTCTCTCAGATACCCAAAACCACAGGGGAACTTACACACAATTTATGACTCAATTCACTTAAAACACTGAAAATTGCCACCCTTCAACCAGGCATAACTTGTTCAAGCAGGTATACCAGCATCTCTCGCACATGCTACAGAAATTGTAATGAACAAAGGGTCACATTGCTGAAAAATACATCCAACCAAATTATTTAGCTGACTTCTGCAGGGGATGGTATATCCCGATCCAATGCTTATTGCTCGACTCATTACCATACAAGCTTAGAAACGACAAATTGAAATCATAAGCTCCCAATCCAAATCGGTTTGCTCACTTTCTAACACAAAAGGAAAAATCAAGCCCTCAACTGAAGACACACTCACATTTTGCCAGCTTAGCTAGCTTCTGAGACGTCTGGTGGATCCCGAACCCAATCCTCGATGCCCTCCGATTGAACTCCGAATGCAGCGCCGCTGCCGACCGCGACGACTCTTCCCACTTCGATCCGCTGCTGCTCAATCCATTATGCGCGGCGAACGGCTTCTTTAACCTCTCCGCTATCCCCAAAAACTCCTGCGTCCGATCCATGATGGGCGCATTCCCAGTCTTCATCGGATTATCAACAAAAGTATCAACGCGGCAATGCATCAAAACCCTGTTTAAGCTTCAAGTGAACAAGATCCTCGAGCTTTATTAGTTACAGACTGTGGGAGAAAAATTGGGGGAATTTGTTTGATCTTAAACCCTAAAAATTAGTCAAAACAGACAAAAAAAAGAATAAGAGATGAAGCTTTTAGACCTTGTAATAAAATTGTAATAAAACAATAAATTTCATGACATAATTTGGAACTAAAGAGGGAGCTAGACCTTTGTTAAGTGCAAAAATAAACTTCAAGAGGTTATTGTGTAAAAACAAATTTGAAGAGCATCGGCTCAGCAGCCCATTGAACACCTAAATTCCCAAATACACACCAAAAGGTTCATCTGCTGATACAAACCACATCAATTGTGCACACAGACCACATCAAATGTGCACCAAAAAACAAATGAAAAGGAGAACAAGAACGGCTGGGCAATATTGACGATGAGTTCAACTAAGCACACAACAACCCTCAATACACCAAGCATAAAGCAAATGCAAACACCACATTATTATTCAAACATTACAGCACCATTAAAGAAAAATCGAATAAACCAATTCAAGATTAACCAATTCAAAAAGATATTTTAATTGAACTCAAAATATAAATTTTAACTAAAAAACCCTAAAAATTCTATAATTTCGGACCAAAAACCCAAAATCATTCCTAACCCTTTTCAGACCAAATACCCTAAATCGGACCAAAAATTCTGTAATTTTGGACAATGAGAGACGGAGAGTACCGTGAGGCCGACGACGTTACAGAGGCCGAGAGAAATAGCCGACGAGAGAGAGAGTATAGAGAGCACCGTGAGGCGGACGGGTTCTGAAATTTACCGCCGATGAAGATGGTGAAATTTGTTGCTGATACAGAGAGAGAGTACACGAGCCTCGTGCGATTACAGAGAGAGAGATATATAGACTATAAATTTTCTTCGATTCAACGACGAAGAGAGGGGGGAGACAGAAAAAAAAAAATCGAAGAACAATGATGCTGAGGATAATTGGATAATTTTCGTTAAATGTTAAAGGTTATGATGAAATAGTTTTGTATATGAATGATTGTTATAGAAATAATTTAGATGTAAGGACTTAAAAATAAATAGAATTGTAAATTTATAATTTATTTTAAGTTTTAATGACATAAGGGTATTATATGTTTTTTACAAGTACAAGGAGGTACGAGGTTGGTACGAGGGTGGTACGAGGCAAAATAGAATTTTCGTTACCTCGTACCAACCTCGTACCTTAATCTAATGGTTCATATTGATTTTAAGTCAATCTAATGGTGATATAAAGGGGTATCTAATGTTAGTTAGGTACAAAAGGTACCTGACAATAGACGATCCCTTCTTTGTATTGTTAAATTGCGCATAAGAATGTCATCAAAGACGGAGCCATACAAGGCCCATGGGGGCCCGTAGCCCCCATCATCTTTATATATATATATATATATAAAGAAAAGTAATATAAAATCTATTATATATATAAAGAAAATACTATATAATAGTTATAGAAATGCAAAATTCTTTAGAATATACTAATAATTAAAATTTATTTATTATGTTGCTTTAACATAAATTAATACAAGATTTATTTATTGAAAAATGTACTAACAATTACTATGTTTTCATTCCTAGATAAGATTTTTAAAGTATTTTTAAAGATTTACTCTTTCGATTTTTTAATTGAAAATCGAGTTAGCGATATAAAACAGAGTATTTAGTTGGATTGTTATGTTTTTTTACATTGATTTTTTTTGTGTAACAACATATTTTAATTTTATTTTTTTTTCTAAAAAATTTCCATTAATAAGCTTCATGAACAAAAACGTTATGCGATGTGCTGCAACTGTTCAATTTAAATCAAATTTTGTATCAAAAAACTTATTTTTCCATAACTTATTAATCTTGAAGTTAAATTATAAATACCTGAAATCTCATTTTTTTTTAAAAAAAAAAAAAGTTTGAGGGTGATACAGATTTTAAGTTTTTAATTACTTGATGATACACATATCAATATTTATATATATATATATATATATATATATATATATATATATATAATAAATACATTTTTATATGAAATGAACATTCGATTTATACTATAAGCTCGTTATTTTATATTTAAAATTGGGCACCCCTAAGTAAAATTTCTAAATCCGCCACTGAATGTCATATTGTCATAAATAGTAGTGTATATGTATCACCCTACATGCACGTATGCCCTTTCGTCCTAATAACACCTCCAAAAATAGAATCCATGAACCCAAAGGAAAACGACGAACAAAATTAATAGCTAAACAAATAATAATGTCACTCTAC